CTACATCTCATCTCCACAAAAACCTACATATCTCAGCTCAGAACTGACACACAAGCCTAAATGAGGTACCGTTGGAAAGAGATTGTTTACAGCTATCTAACTGTGCTGGTTTTATTGGTGTAGAGAAGAGGGCATTTTTAAAATTTGACTAAAGTAACTTAGTCTAACTAGACATCTGCCAGACGCATTCAAACAGACACCAATTAAAACGTCACGCGAACGAAATTACGAATGTTGAATTTGTCTTATGATGAGTCAGAGATCAAGTTTAAAAGAACGTACATACAACGAAATACTGGTCAAGACGAAGGGAGAAGTTGCGAACGACACCAGTCAGCCAGCCACTACATGATTTGTCCCCTTGTGTTTGTTCGTCTGCTATGGTGGACCAGACTCCCTTCCGGTAACTCTCCTATTTCGAAAACAGTTTGTTGGGAAAGGAATGTCTTTTTCTTCTTCTTTAGCATTCTAAGCCCTTGGGGTTCATTGCTGCAGATCAGGGCTGACAATGATGGGTTTTTACTCCCAGATCTGGGTTTTGATTTGACGCCTTGGGTTCAAATTTTAAAATCTTTTTTTTTTTTAAATTATATCCTATATATAAGTGGGTAAAGGTTTCGTTTCGTAACTGTAAATTTGTAGTTTTCAACAATCGTGTTTTTTTTTTTTTTTTGGTATTGCTTGGGTTTTTTTTTGGTCATCTTAGCTGGGTTTTTCAAAAAAGTCCTATAGTCAGCCATGCTGCAGATATCACCCGCCTCCACTCATCTCTCTGGTTGGCCTTCTTTTTCCATTTGGGCACACCAAGTGTTTGGACTGCCTATACATTAGCTACCCATAGTCTTTTTGGTCTGCTTCGTAGTCTACGACCATTCATCTCTCTTGTGTATGCAGTTTTAACTTTCCTGTCGTCTAACATTCTTTCAATATGCCCCAACAATTTCAGTCTATTAGCTTTCATGATGACAGTTATCAAAGGCGATCTAAACAGATTATGAATTTTGTTGTTGTTTCTCACTCTCCATTCTCCGCTGTTTGCATCTTTGAAGGGTCCAAAGATTCATCTTAAGACTGTTTTCGAAAACCTCAAATAAGGCTTTATCTCTTTTAGTTGTGCTTCAAGTTTCAGAGCCACATAAAACGACTGGTCTTGTCGACGTTTGATATATTTTGATCTTGGTGTTGTGAGACAGACACTTTGACCTCAGCAGATGTTGAAGGACATAGTTTACTTTATTTCCAGATTGTATTCTAGCTTGTATTTCTTCTCTCAGCATATTGGAGCAGTTGAAGTTTGCACCTAAGTACTTATCCTGAAATCCTTGGGTAGATTTTTAACAGGGCAGCTTCGTTAGGCAACTCTTTTCGATTTCTAAATGCCAAGGGATTTTTTACGTTCGCAACAATACACACAGGCGTTTGATCTCGCTTACCAGAGACCAGGAGAAATTACTAGAAGTCCAAGTCCACGTGAAAAAAATCACAGCCCTTTCCGGGGATTGAACTCGGAACCTCTAGCACTCGAGGCAGACAACATGCCTCGAGACCACGCAGCCCCCTTTCCTGTTTGTATAAAAAATACAATAATAAAAACTAGATGGAGAAATTGAATGGAAGTTCGTGTAAGCAGTAACCACGCCCATCTTGAGCTATTTCTATTATTAGAGAAGGCAGCGGCGGTAACTAACAGGTGTCACATTTGGCAAAAACTGTAATTTCGTGACATCAGATTTAACAAATGAACTGCTATCTACATTTTTTCTTCTTTTATTAGCTGGTAGATAGATCGGGAAACAATTTCTACTGTTGTGATGGACCGTGGGTCTAAAATGGTTAAAGAACACATTTTTGTATCATCAAGCCATGACCTACACTTTCTATCACCGGGTGTTTGTTGCTCATTGTGTGGTCCTGGTCAGGTTGACAGTCAGTCTGCTGGTATTTCTTCAGCCTCTCTGACATTTGTGCAGCAATTTTGATGTGTTGTTTTGGTTTTTCTTCTTTCTGCCACCCTTTCCATCTATCAGAATCTGACAGTATTTAAGAGGTCTTCGTTAGATGTTATTTCACAACAGACGTCCAATTTAACTTCTGTATGTTCAATATCTAACGGTAATTTTGGAACTTGTCTATTCAGAGTTTCTCAAAATATTTTTTGTCATTTGATGGTGTTGGTGAAAAGTGTCCCCATTACAGTTTCTCATAAATTCACTTCATTGATTATATTTTTTATTGTAGTATTATTCAAGACTGGGACTTTCCTTTCACTGCTGCTACTTCTGTCTCCTCTGTTAGACCACCTAACTTAATGTTTTTTTAAACCTGCGAACTTTCCTAGTTTCCGCATTATGATTCACTACAGCAGTTCTCTAATAAATTACAGACATTCATTAACTGGTGCCTGCGCAGAATAGAGGAAATAAAATGGTATGATAGAATAACTAATGTAGAACTTTGGGAGAGAACTAAACAGGCTCCAGTGAATCAGGAGGTGAGGAAAAGACGCTGGCTATGGATAGGGCACACACTGAGAAAACAGGAGAACAGCATAACTAGAATGTCTTTGCATTGGAACCCACAGGGGCATAGGAATAAAGGAAGGCAAAAAAACACATGGAGAGAGAGCTGGAGAATGAGGTTAGAAAGATTGGGAGGACATGGGGAGAGCTCATGCAATGGCGAAGGATAGAACGACTTGGCGTGAGTTGGTTGAGGGCCTATGCTCCATTGGGGGATAGAAAGGCAGAAGAAGAGACAGCAGTTCTCACTATGCTATTATTTAAATCGATAGACAACATCTAAAGGAAAACAAAGCTTTGGGATATGTTGAAATCAAAATAATATTTTTGAATGCCATGTTGAGAAGAGCAACACTGAAACATGGTGTGACGACTGGAAAGAAAAACAGTGAAGATTAGGAGAGAAGGTACTTGACAAACTTTACCAAAGCACAGAAAGGTGCCAGCATACAAAATGATCTTCTTTTCTTGTTTGTCATATCCTATTTTACCGCTTCAGGTGTTGAGGGAGATATAAGATTCTGCTTCCTCCTCTTCTGACTGCCTCGTCCAAAAACACATCTTTGATGTTATCTTTGAGTTTTGTTTGTGATCTACCTCATGATCTTCGTCTATCACCTCTTTTGGTGTGTGCTTTTATGGTATGGCGTCACAAGACAATCATTTGATTTGTTGTCTTACTTTTTTTTTCTCTTATAATATCATTCCTGTTTTTCTCTCTTCTGGTCACGTCTGCAGCCCTTCTCAGGCATCTCATTTACATGGCTATCAATTTTCTTTCCTAGTTTGTTGTTAAAGACAGAGTCCCCTTGACACACCAGTGGCACTTTAGGTATATGAGGATAGAATCCATTTGGTATCCATTACAGGTTGACTACATGCTGCTGGTGGAAATCACAAGGTATGGGGAAGCATGGTCGCTAACAGCAGCTGGCCTTATCACTTGATGATGCTAATACATCTACAAGCAAACAACTAACATAATATTATCATCATGAAATGTTTTATTTCATCATACAATATAAGAGAGAAAAAAGTTATGATCAGATTACAAATAATCACAACTACACAGATAATACAAGTTTTAGCCCATTTACGGGGCAAGAACTCTTTGTTAATTCACGTTCTTTGAGTCTTGCCTTTGTTGTCTCCCCTGGTATTCCAAAGTTGAAGTTTGAATTTCCAATCATGAGTGACAAACAGAAATCATGGCCACAAAAGGTTATAAATAGAATGATAAACGGTTATGGCCTACATATGTGTCACAAAGTGAAAACAATTAAATACACACAAAGGACAATATGACAGTCATTATAATGACAAACTGGCAGAAAATGCTAGCAATAAACAATTGGAAAGAATGACAAATATGGCAGGTTTCACAAAATAATCAAAGTAAGAACATATAACAACGATTACATTGACACATATTAATAACAATTATCTTATGCTCAATTACTGGGAGCTGCTGGGGTGTAGTGGCTAGAATCTGACCTGCGGATCTGAAGATTGTGGGTTCAGGTGCGGACGGAGACTCTTTTAAACAATGATCTTGGCTCCTAGGTCGACCCAGGTTAAGTCCTGGCAATTAAAGGCAGTTAGTGTGATGCTGACCATATCATCCGCCAAGTGCCGACTGGTCTATAAAATACAGGTCGAGCCCTATATGCCCAATACCCCTGAAGGTGTGAACAAAAGTCCCTTGTTAAATTTTTTTTTTTTTTTTTAATATTTCCAAATCAAAACTGATAATCATGAAAAAAGTAGAATAAAAAGAAAAGCAGAAAGAGGTATTCAACTGTTTTCTCACTGTCAGTAAATTAAATAAATCTGTTTAAATGTTTTTTTTTCCCTGGGACTGTAGCCGGAAAGACTGACATCCAGTGACTCAAGCAGCCACTATTTGGATGAAATCGACCAGGAGCAAATCCCAGAAAATCTTGCCCGACCATATAAAAGTTATACTGGGGCACCCTGCGGTTAAACGTAACCTGCCGTCCAATGTGACAGGTTACTCAAACGTATTTACTATACATAATCAGGTCACAAACAAAACACCACACGATTTAATGCTTGCGATATTTTGCAATATCCCATCATGCGCATACTAGATAATTAAAATTCACATATAGTGAAGCCAAAAAAAAAAAGAATCCTTTGAACTAAAATACACAAATCTCATAGTCTAATAACACACATGAATCATACGCTTAGTTTAAGACTACTATGGTGTTGCTCAGGATGAATCAATGGATCATATGATGTAATAATGAGATACAGTGAAATATACATTGCAATATTTTTGTTTGCACCCTTATCATTTAACAGAAATTTAACAATAAAAACCCTCATTTTTCAGACACTTGACAATGAAAACTCATTTTTAACAGAAATTTTACAGTGAGCAATTGGTAAACCATAACAGTGACAAAACTGACAAAAGAATTTTTTAAAAAATGCACTCAAAATGACAACAGTCACATGAGGTTAAGCATGAACAATTTATTGCCAAAGACTTTCATCTGGCTCAACAGCATTCACAGGCATATCTTTCTTGTCTGTGTGTGCATTAAACCAACTAACACATTATTATCTTTCTTTATTTATGTAAAACTTTATATATATTCACATATAAATAAAAAAAAAGACAGAAAGAGATGGAGAGAGAGAACATCTGAGAAAGAACTACGCAGTAAAGACAGACAGATAGAGACAGAAAACAATGTGAGACAGACAAAGAGAGAGAAACACTGTGTCTCAGTCAATCCTCAAAGAGAGATAAGAGGATTTATGATGATTCTCAATCAACACATGTACAGTTTCAACAACACATCATGAGAAGAAGCAAGCAGAGAATTACAAAACAGGCACTAAAATGAGAAACAAATGTACTAAGAAGATGAGAACATCTAAGAGAAACCCACAGATAAATGCTGTTGCGAAAGGCCAAAGGTGTTGACTGAATTCCAACCCTGACTCTGAGAGGATTGCACAGGATAGAATGGGATGGAGGAATAGACTGACTGCGAGTCTGTTGTCAGGTTTAACATCACAAGAGGATGATATTTTCACAACAACAGAATGACAACATCAAGGAATAGACTGACTGCGAGTCTGTTGTCAGGTTTAACATCACAAGAGGATGATAATTTCACAACAACAGAATGACAACATCAAGGAATAGACTGACTGCGAGTCTGTTGTCAGGTTTAACATCACAAGAGGATGATAATTTCACAACAACAGAATGACAACAGCAAGGAATAGACTGACTGCGAGTCTGTTGTCAGGTTTAACATCATAAGAGGATGATAATCTCACAACAACAGAATGACAACATAATGGCAACATCAAATTCAGAGGTTCCGAGGACACTGGCAACAACAAAAAGTTATGTTATCACAATCGACGTCACTGAACACTGGGTCTTGCCACACGTGCTCAGTCCTACAAGGTACTTCTACTGGTTGTTCCCATGAGGAGTTAGTTAGTTATAATGTCTCCTATCTCGGCCTTAAAGGCGGCATAGACACGCTTTACCATGCTTCACTCCCATGTCAAGCAAGCAATCATTTAGTGTCAGGGATTTGTCATTATACATTAAACCCAGTCTGTACAGCATTGGGGATATCTGCTTTGGCCATGCTTTTATCCCACCAGTTGGTCCACTCACTCACTACCTTTCACACCGGCATGGCCAGGGGTACAGATCCAGGTGGAGGAGGTTAATGAATACTCTATACCCATTCAGAGTGTAGACTGCTTGTTGTGATTTTCTGAAGCATGTTCGTGAAGTCTGATATGATTACCGCATGCATGGCTGCTGGTTCTGCTACACATGTTCTGCTCTGGAATCAGTGGTTATCTCCTTGAACAAGCCTGAAGTAGTTGTTTGGTAAGTACCTCTATCATCATTTATTGTTTTCCCCTCATCCTTTTTTTGCCCACAGTGACCTTGACACAAACTTCATGGACCCATAAATCCTCAAACACAAAGTTTATGCTCCAATATTCCATGCTGCATTAGATGACAACAGACTGAAACAAAGTTTATGCAGTGACATTTGATGTTCTGCATTAGGACAATATCAAAAGCAAACAATTTATGCTCTGATCAGATATCAGTGCAAACAATTTATTTTCTGATCTGATATCAGTGCAAACAATTTATGTTCTGATCTCATACCAGTGCAAACAATTTATGCTGTGATCTGATACCAGTGCAAACAATTTATGCTGTGATCTGATACCAGTGCAAAACAATTTATATTCTGATCTGATACCAGTGCAAACAATTTATGTTTTGATCTGATATCAGTGCAAACAATTTATGCTCTGATCTGATACCAGTGCAAACAATTTATGTTCTGATCTGATATCAGTGCAAACAATTTATGCTCTGATCTGATACCAGTGCAAACAATTTATGCTCTGATCTGATATCAGTGCAAACAATTTATGCTCTGATATTCAATATTGTATTTGGGGATAATAAACCATAACAAAAAGTATGTTTCGATATTGAATGTTCTTTTTATATGAAGATAACATGCTGGGGAAAGCAGCTTATGCTGTGGTATTTATTATTGTATATGAAGATGATAACATATGAAAACATAAAACTTACTTATGCTCTGATACTCAATGCTGAGTCTGTAAAGTAAACGAGCCCTTGGGCATATGGTGCTAGACCTTTATTTTATAGACCAATCGGAACTCGGTCGGTGGTCAACATCACGCGGATGTTCTTAACCTCCTAGGACTTTTACCTGGCACCCATTTAAGACTGGGTCCATCTGTAAATCAAAGACATTTAAAAAAGTCAAGCTACATTCAAATTTGAATTTTCCACCTTTGGATCTGTAGGCGAGCTTCTTGCTGCTACACCACGGTGGCTTCCCAGTGCTGTATTTGATGACAATAAAATTCAGGCCCTGATACTCAATGCTATCAGGTCGACTCAGCCTTAAATGAGTACCCGGTGAAGTCCTGGGAAGTAAAGGTGGCCGGCATGATGTTGACCATATCACCTACTCAGTGTCGACTGCTCTACAAAATACAGATTTAGAACAGAGCTGGTCAACTAAGTTTACTCAGGGGCCACACGTTTGAAGATGTGATCATTACCGGTTTGGAAACCCCAGTCTCAGCATTAATACAATAGGGTAATGCTCCAAGGGCCAATTGCTAGGCACCCATGGGCAAGATTTGACCGGCAGGTCACCCCTGATCTAGAACTACGTGCCTAATATGCCTGTGTAGAAAAGGGTCCTTTACTTTATTCAATGCTGTAAACGACAAGAATTAAATGTATGCTCTGATATTCAATTTTGTAAATAAAAAGATAAAAATGGACTGAAACAAAGTTTATTATGTTCTAATATTTAATGATGTATATGGAAACAAACATACTGTGACATAAAGTTTATGCTAAGTTATTCTATGATAACAACACACCAAAACAGACAGTTTACGTTCTTAGATTCAAGGCTGTGTACGAAACAACATATTCAATCAACTTATGCAAATATACTGAAAATTACTGTTTATGCAGTGAAACATTAGGTATAAGCATCGTTATCACTATCATCACATGCCTTGCCAAATGGTATTTCTTCTCCTGTGTTCAACTTTAAAAGAGTGGTTGGGATGTTGTGGTTAACAGCTAGGTTGTGATATGGGGGCTTTTCAGCCCAATACATCAGATTTAAGCACACTTGTAATTAACCACCTTTTATGACATGCTTGATGGGGGGGGGGGGGGGTGTGTCTATCCTCCCTCCCCCAAAATGGGGAAAACTGGATCCCGCAGGGGAAGCCAAATGGTGACATGCATAAGAAGCTAATATTGCTTTACAAAGATCCCTGTGTGGGTTTGGTGTTCAACTGTGGGTAAAGCAAATATAGACCAAATGCTTACCCAAAAAAAAAAAGAACACAGTAAAAGTTAATTAATTGGAAGCTTCCTTCAGAGTTGGAGTGCCTCTGCCCAAGTGGCAAGGGACAACGAACGACACAAAAAAGCCAGTAAAACGGATGTACAGGCAAAACTCAGGCCCTGGAATATATGGGTGTGTGTGTATATATATTGTTCGTGGCTTAGGTGTTGAGTCCGACTTGCAACTCCAACGTACCGCAATCGATGGATGGATTTTTATCGTGGTGTGGGATGTCGCAGGTTGACCCAGCCTAAAATAGGTACCAGGATGTATGTCTTGGGGAAGTGAAGACGGCCGGCGTAATGCTGACCACATTACCCCGCTATTGCCGATTAGTCTGTAAAAAAAATGGGTGCTCTTCCTATATGCCCAATGCGCCTAAAAGCGTGAAAAGGGATCTTTACTACTTTTACCTATATATATATTTATATATATATATACACACATACACACACACGCGCGCGTACAAAGGTAAGTAATTACTTAATACAGCAAAGAAATAACTGCTTTCCTTCCCATTGACCAGGAAAATAGATTTTTGCTGACTCAGCCACAGACAGCAAAATTACCTCATCATATGCTTAATATGATGTCATAATGGGCAAGAAAAACAGTAATTCCTCCATTAATCTCTCAAAGAAAATTTGAAAATAATCATACACACCATGTCTACACACTATACAGTTAAAATAAGTACCACAGCTGTTATATAGGCGTACTGGCTCCCACCAAAGACATGCGTAATGTCACAAGAAACCTGTAAAAGTCAGAAAACAAACTCGCTTTCTCAGGGTTACGAGGTTGACTGTGAATTCCAGATCAAATTCTGGGAGAAGAAAAAGAATATACCTACCGCCCTTTAACTCAGAACCAAATAACGCACACACATTTATTTTTAATTTAACTGTGCTCTGGTACCAACATAGTTAACAAGCAGAGCATAAAAGGTGCCTAATCAGGGGTTTGCTGAAATCACGTGCAGATATTGCAGCCTGGCTGTAAACCACAAGCTAACATGCCACTGTCCCTTGGAGGCAAATGTAGGATAGGAACAACTTGTAATTTCAACCATTGGAGCCAAGAGTTTGGTAAATGTGAACCAATCATGAGCCACTGCAAGAGGCAAATGGTGCTCTTAAGCACTTATTAAAGCAATCAAAAATATCATGCAATGATAATTTATAAACATGGCACATCCAAAAACTGTCATAAGCACTTTACTATTATGAACACATTGAAACAAGACCATGATAACAGCACTGTACAGCAGCTTATGACAACATAATCAACATTCTGCCACCAGTAGCATGACAACAGAGGTCATGGCTGTGACAAAGGCCCTACCACCAGCAGCATGACAACAGAGGTCATGGCTGTGACAAAGGCCCTACCACCAGCAGCATGACAACAGAGGTCATGGCTGTGACAAAGGCCCTACCACCAGCATCATGACAATGGAGGTCATGGCTGTGACAAAGACCCTACTACCAGCAGCATGACAACAGAGGTCATGGCTGTGACAAAGGCCCTACCACCAGCATCATGACAATGGAGGTCATGGCTGTGACAAAGACCCTACTACCAGCAGCATGACAACAGAGGTCATGGCTGTGACAAAAGCCCTACTACCAGCAGCATTACAACAGAGGTCATGGCTGTGACAAAGATCCTACTACCAGCAGCATGACAACAGAGGTCATGGCTGTGACAAAGGCCCTACCACCAGCATCATGACAATGGAGGTCATGGCTGTGACAAAGACCCTACTACCAGCAGCATGACAACAGAGGTCATGGCTGTGACAAAGGCCCTACTACCAGCATCATGACAATGGAGGTCATGGCTGTGACAAAGACCCTACTACCAGCAGCATGACAACAGAGGTCATGGCTGTGACAAAGGCCCTACCACCAGCATCATGACAATGGAGGTCATGGCTGTGACAAAGACCCTACTACCAGCAGCATGACAACAGAGGTCATGGCTGTGACAAAAGCCCTACTACCAGCAGCATTACAACAGAGGTCATGGCTGTGACAAAGATCCTACTACCAGCAGCATGACAACAGAGGTCATGGCTGTGACAAAGGCCCTACCACCAGCATCATGACAATGGAGGTCATGGCTGTGACAAAGACCCTACTACCAGCAGCATGACAACAGAGGTCATGGCTGTGACAAAGGCCCTACTACCAGCATCATGACAATGGAGGTCATGGCTGTGACAAAGACCCTACTACCAGCAGCATGACAACAGAGGTCATGGCTGTGACAAAGGCCCTACTACCAGCAGCATGACAATGGAAGTCATGGCTGTGACAAAGACCCTAGTATGGCTGAGAACTCAGGAGCTCACCAATGCATGTTTGCTCAGTAACTCAATGAGCATGTTACAGAAGATCAAGGGAACAGATGAAAACAGTGGGTCCACTTAGTGTTTCGCAAAATCACCTTCACTTTTTGTCCTATGGCATGCTATGCTGGTGTGAAAGGCAATGAGAGAGAGGAAGCTCTGGCTGGCAGTGCAACTATCAGGAATGGGCCTTTTATGGAAAGGAGAGACATCATCAATTCCATACAAGAGACTAAATGCTGTGAGGCTTTCAGTTTCGTGAAAAATTATTTTTTCACTGAATAGACTGCATACCCTGGGTGTACCAATCGATGCCACAAGACAGGAAAACTATATGGGAGCCACCCGTCGTTACATCAGCCAGAACAGAATGGGAGTTCTTCCCTAAAAACACTTGGAGACATACTCAGGAAGAGATCAGGGTACCCATGTTCTAAGTTTGATGAAGATGGCCTCAAAAATGAACAATAAACGATCACAATTATGAATGTGTGCAGGTATTCGAGGCAACGAGTGTGCAGATTATCTGGTGGGCAAGGTGGTTACAATGACTGGCATGGTACTGGACAGGAGTGAGGTTATTAATTCCACGCGAGATGCATATCCCGACAACAAGCAGTATCCTTGTCAAGTTTGGTGGATATGTGGGTGCAACTTGGAGTAGTCAGACATAAACATTTCACTGACGGGAACATCTGATTACGCAACAAAGAATCGACATGACCAGGTTTTTGAAGCCTCGGATACTACTGAAGTGATCAAATCACTTATGAGGGGTGCACAGAGTGCCGTGATGATAATCCTCAATAATCCCATTATGAATGTCCAAAAGTCTTCATGCAGATAAATAATATAGTACAAGGTAACAATGATAGTTCAACAAAGGACACATTTTAAAACAAACATTTGTTAAAATCAAATCATCCATCACAAAAATGTGACTGTGATGAGCTAGAACATCTCAAACTCAGCAGATGACAGTAAATTAGAGATATAAATTAGCACTGAAAAAACAGCATACAATTAGGTTATCATTTTTTTTTTTTTTATTTAAGCTTAAAAAAAAAAAACATTGCTTTGAATAAACTGCTCATAATCAGAGCTCTAAAATAGATCTCTAAAAGAGCTCATAGACATAAAGAGTTCTAAAATGTTTCTTAAAAAACAGCACACAGCTGTGAAATCTCTGAAAGAATGTTTCCACCAAAAAGCCATATTTAAAAGATTTTAAAAACTGTATATAAACATCCCATAAAGAGAAAAGTTGAAAAAAAAAAAATCCTGAAAAGGTTATATTTAAGAAAGGTCTGCGTGGGTTCCGGGGCCCAATTGTGGGGGTTGGGGTGGGGGGGGGGGGGGGGGGGGGGACAAGAAAAGACCTAAAGCCTCCCTAACAAACATGTCTCAGGAGTCCACAAACTGAGTGCATTCACTGAAATCAGACTGCATCTGTCTGAGAGGCAAAGAACCAACAGTCTGCATATAAATAAGACATATCTGTGACATGGAACATATTTTGTCATCTCTTTGTGGGATGCAATTTTTCGTTATTTGAAGCCCTACTCTGGCTCTTGCCAGGGACCGCAATACAGCCCACCCATAAATATGGTCTAATGGCTGAACGCCGTTTCTGGGACCTCTCCACGGTTATCCCCATCCACATGGTGGCACTTTGTGTGATGTCCTGGTGGGGTAAAAGAAGATAGACAGGCTTGGAACAACACTCCGGTTCTGAAACAAGACTAAAGTCCGCATTAAACATCCAGAACTTTCCAGTGGAGTTTACAGCCGGTGAATGTGAAGAAGAACTACTGGTTTAACTACTCACATTTCATTGTGTCTATGTTCAGAAAGTCTTCTTTTATCAAAATCATGCCTTTTATCTCCTAGATCCCCACTTGCATTCCAGGCCCACATTCTGGTGAAGAAAACAGACCCAACACCCTCTAACAAGCATGCCATACGAGGCAATTAATTATGGTTTTTCTGAAACCAGACATGTTCAGCTGAAGGGTGCAGATATCACAGACCAAAGTGTAAACGTCAACACAATGCATCAGCCACCCTTTTGGTCGCCATGCCAATAAGCTGTAAAACCAAAATTCCGGTGACGTCTACTTTCCTGCAAATGTCACGTTTCTAACCTATAGCAACCCCTTTTTGAGAGGCATAGTTAATGCTGTTTTCACATCTGTGCAAACATTTATGAGTCAAAATATTAATAAATTAACTTAAAAAAAAGCATCTAATCATTTTCCCCTTCAAACCAAATGGTTTTTATTAAAGTCAAGTTGACCAAAGTCAAATTATCCCGTAACCCTCAGTTACAAAGGTCACAGAATAAGTTACCTGATACATATTGTTTTAATACCCTGGGGAATGTATTCTATTGAATGCTTCACCTTGTTTGTGTTTTTTGAGAAAAAATGAAACATAATTTTTAACTAATTTATTAATGAACTGTGTAAAAAAAAAAATTTTTTTTTAGATTTGTTTTGGAAACTCCAGCACAATCATGACCTATTTTTTTCAAATGTTCTATTCCGAGAGGGTTAACATGGTCCTGGTATCAGACAGTTTATTTATCAGACTAAGTCCACTAAAGTCTGCTGTTAAGAGATTTGTAGAACCATAATAGAAAATAAGTGCGCGCACACAAAATATGAGAAATGATTTTTTTGTTTTTTGTTTTTTGTTTCTGTACGACAGGAGAAATTAACATTCTCAGGACTTTGAGGAGGAGTTTTCGCCTGAGACTCCCATGGGCATAGTTCGATTCCAGCTTTGGGATTTAACGAAATCAATTTCTGCGTAAGATAAAGGCATCTGTTTCTCATCAGCATCCGAGGAGTTTCTATGTCTAATTCTGGAGGATTTGCCATCGGTATCACCTTGACTGTCGCAGCAACCAAGATCAAGTTTGAGATAGTTCAGTGGTTTAGACTGGTCAGCAGAGCTGTTCTCATTAATTCCATTGCTACTGCCTGAACCCTTGTTTCCAGGGCTGCTATGTGAACTGATGCTGGAAGAAACAGTGCCAGAGGGTGCAAAGTTCATCTGTTGATAAGCTCCAAGATCAGAAAGGCTGTGACGGCTTCTGGGCCCTAAAGAGAACTGTGCATTTCCAGACCTAGGAGTGGAACTGGGGGTTTCACCCAAAGACCGGCTCTCGTGATCTGTACAAGTGGCCAGGTTTTGTATACAAGGTGTGCTATCTGGCCGTATCATACCATGGTTTTTACCTTTGTTGGCCAAGCCCACGACAGTGGTTACATCATCAAGGCTGTGACGGATCCTCGCCTCGACGGGGACCATCTTTGCTTCTAAAGACACTGCACCTTCAGGTGACTTCTCTCCACTTGGGGCTCTGCGCCTGCTTTTCCCGCCCAGCGATCCAGAAGATGAATCTGACTTATTCCCCTTGCGGAGAGATTTCTCAGAGTCTGACGAAGCCTTACGAGATTTCTGAGAAGAGGTTGAAGACCCACTCCAATGTTTATGCCTGGAACTTGAGCCATTCGGAGAAGGGCTGTCTGTGACAGATGAACCACTCAAATGTTTGTGTCTGTGGCCGGCTGGGTTGTCAGGAGATAGAGTCTGAACTAAAAGAGGCTGCAGGGGCTGCACATCTAACATCCCCTGTGGGCTTTTACTCCATGATGCTTGGCTAGCCGGAGCTGACAGCTGCCGGAGAAAACCCTGAGGTGGTTGAGAGAGTTTTCCTGACTGACGTACTGACAGCTTGTCATCCCCAGGATTACTACCACCAATTGCGACTTCAGCGGCAATCTCATATTCTTCATGAATATCCATAAACGGCTGTGACAACTGCTGTCTGGCACTGTTCTGTGTGGCATTCCCAGTGGTACCTAGACCTGTGCTGGTGTTCTCTTGAGAAACTTTAGAAGCAGCAGAATTAGCTGGATTGATTTTGACATAGTCACTATTAGCATCCTGTGCAACAGGTTTGGACACTGAGTGAACTTGGTGAGTTGAATGTGTTGACAGAGGTGGCACAGGGGGTGTCTGCGAAACACCACCCGAACCTGAACTATCACAGTGAATCTGAGTGTCAAAAGTTAAGCTACTACTTGAGGTCATACGTGGGCTTTTATCTGTAGAACGAGAATCATTCCTGTTTGAACGATGGCTATTTTCCACGGATGTCCGATGTTGGTTATGTCTTTGCTGTCTCGACTTGCTGGGTCCTGCTAGCATGCCGTTCTCATAACCCTGGTAATAAGACATAACAGAATTCATGGCTATTGGCTTTTCTGACCTATTAGAGACTGTGCCAGGTTCGTATCCCACATACTCCTCTGGGTCCTTTGGTATAGAGGTCTGGTGTTGTGTTGAAGGCAAGGGTCTGACACCTGGTTCAAATCCTACATACTGAGGCCGATCTTTGGCTTCAACTTGTTTGACATTATTGAACGCATGTGAGGAAGCAGAGGTTGAATAAGGTATAACTCCTGGCTCAAAACCAACGTATTCATCTGCAGCTTTTGGAGCAAACTGTTTCGTCTGTGGTGAAGTAAAGGACGGGGGTGTTCCCTGCTTTCCCTGCGAGGAATGATGATGATGAACATGCTGCTCCTTCTGTTGAAAGTGTACAGATTTAGTTGAAGACGAAGCAGCAGGGCTGTAGAGGGTGTAAGGTTCATCCTCTGCTGGAGAGGGCGTGAGGTTGGATCTGGTAGAGCTAAAGCTCTCACTACTTCGGGAGCCTGAGGTTGAGACCGACACACTGGAATGGGACGGTCCAAAGCCTGGGGAGCTACCATGGTATTGGTGATGGTGATTGCTCCCTCTGGTGGCAGTTGGGGAAACCTCGATGTATTCATCATCTTCAGGATTACAGGGAGGCGCTTTTGATGGCAACAGCTTTAAAGTAGGGTTGGCGGCGCTAACAGTGGACGTTTGATGATCCTTCCCAAAGTTCATCATGAAAGAGTTCTTTCCTGTGCTAGGTCTACTACCTGTAGAGCCACTCTTCTTCCGAAAATCCTTGCTAAGGCTACCATACTTCTCCATTGATGACTGGCGGGATGCTTTCCGAATGGAATCACTACTGCCACCTGTACGAGATGATGATGACACAAAAGGATGATTTGGCTGATAAATTATTCCTGAGGATGACGGCGATGAAGCTGATGAGACTGAAGTAGAAGATGACTTCCTAGCTGAAACTGGTTGTGAAACCATTTTATCTTTTGAACCTAAGGACCCAGTTCTAGGTTTGTTTCCACTCTGAGGTTCAAACACAATATAGGTGTCTACATTCTCCATGGATAATGATCTACTTCCATCGGATCTTTTGTTTTTATTATCCAAATTCATGTTCAGATACCGAGGATCTTCCTGGTGGGAAGAGCCTACCATAGAAGTGGAAGCTGAGGATCTAGGATCAGTGCTTGAGCCGTGCCGTGTGCTGAGGCTCATGTTAAAGTAGGAGTCTTCCGCAGCGCTAGTCACAGCATTGAGAGGTGCCATCTGTGTGTAATCAGAACTGTGCTGTGTTTGTGACAGGTGCTGTGCCTGCTGGTGCAACTGTGCCTGCTGGTGATGCAGCTGTCCCTGCTGGTGCTGCTGATGCAGCTGTGCCTGCTGGTGCAGCTGTGCCTGGTGTAAATGGTCTGAACTGCTGGTCTTTCCGTCTGGATAACGTCCACTGCTGCTGGAATCTGTTCTGACCCTATGAGGTGACCTCCTGCCTCCAGTCCCAGCCTGCATGCTGAAATAGTGATCAGATTCATGTTTCATGCTTTTCATCTGCGGTGAGGGTGTCCCTCTCATTTCCGCATAATCGCTAGCATTTGACCCACTCGTCTGCCTCATCTCTTGGGAAAGTCTCCGTAAACTTTCATTAGAGACACGGAGAGAATCAAATGACCCTTGCAAAGATGACCCTTGCAAAGATGACCCCTGTGATGTTCTCTGCGAAGCTTCATGAAACGGCCTTGACTTATCTACATTCAGCTTGTTAAAACTGATAACTGGACGAGTGCCCTGCCCATGGCTGGAGGAGCGAGGCCGACAATTCTGCTGGTTCTTGCCAAAACTTGAGGTCCTGTTTCGATAGTTGAAGCTGTCACTAGAAGTCCTGGGTCGCATGGGCATGTAATCCATGAAAGAATCCGAATCATCAGACTTCAGTGATACGCTCAGTGGGCTGGTGTTGGGAGTGGGAGACGCTGTCCTGTGGTCTCTCTCTCTCCGTCCTGATTAAAAAAAAAAAAATTCAACAGATAACTTTGCAAGTAAAAAATTATCTCAATTGTCAAAATATAACAAACATGAAGTAATGAAGACAAAAACAACATACAGCACAATTAATCGCCTTGTACATTTTGCTGCATATTGTCAGGCTCATTACTTCAGTTTCATTAACACTCACCAGGTCCTTTACAGATCCTTGTTCCCGTTACCACAAGCCTGAAAGCCTCTCTTTTTCTAGCCACTTCTCCAGCCCTATATGCTTTTACAGCCAATGTATTTTCAAAGTCTTCAACTCACAATCACCGAGGTCTGCCCCTGCCTCATTCTCCAGAAACTACCTTTCATCACCACACTCTCAAGGTCACCACTCTCTCAAGATCACCACACTCTCAAGGTCACCACACTCTCAAGATCACCATGACATTCAACATAGTCAAAAAATACCTCAGCTTTTGGGACAGGATGCTTTGCTGTTTATGAGCCAATTTTCTATGCTCAGATCACGTATAATGTCTGTGTTTTTCTTCTGCTCGGCCCATGGTGTTCTGAGAAATTGTTTGTGGCACTTTAGTTCAAAAGCTCTGATTTGTTTCTTCAGTGAGTGGGTAAGTCTCTGAATTATATCCAAAAGCTGCCATGGGAAAGATGTATGATCTCAAAATGGTTACTTTAGTTTGCTTGCAGGTGCTGTATCACAGCACACAGTTTACATCAACCTATAATGAAACACAAAACAGAAACCCTTTCTGCTAAAATACACACACCAGCGGAAGTCTACAATTAACCTGTGATCACCACGGAGATTTCTTCTTCGTGTTCACCAGCTGTAAACTCTGGTGGAAAGTTCTGGGTGTTCATCCCTTCTGGACTTTGGTTTGTTCCAGAACCTGAGTGTTGTGTGCACACTCGTTTCACACATCTGGCTTTTTTTATGCAGACTCTTTTTCCGATTTCTCAGGATGTCCCTAATTAGTTGACTCCTACGAGCGACCTGCTTGTCAGGGCGGCAGTGGGTCTATTCTTGTTCTCTCCTAAATGGGGCCCCAGAACTCAGACATGGAACCATGAAGTCTAAGATTAAACAAAAGGAACGCACCATCACAATATCTGACACTAAACAGAAAAAGATACTGCTGAAAAGCTGAATCAAGTATTTGCAGACAATCAAACCACTCCACAATGAAGGCTGGCTGCCATGGATCTCTAACATGCTCTGTCTCTAGTCTTGATTGTACACTCTCTCAGACCACTTAGGTCCATATCTTGATGCTGTCCTCTCATTTGTATCATTGTCTACCTCTTGCTCTGTTGGCCCAGAAATTTGCTATTTTCAAAAGAGCATTGTGTCCTTCAATGTAGCCGAAATATTTCATCTCTATTTTATTTCTTGCAGCAATTCTCTTTTCATTCAGTCTCTCCTGAGCAACTCTGTATTTGTTTTTGTTTCCATGAAACAAAACTGAGTCTTCTCCTTCTGTATATCCATGTCTGCAGTGACTGACTGAGATTTGCTAGCTGCCTGTTCATTGTCCAGATTTATGCACTGTACCGCAGGGTTGAGTATACATAACATATGATGATTCTCATTTGCAATGTGTTGTTCATCAATCCAGACTAAAGCAGAATGACACACTTTAAAACGGAAATACCTTTAAGAATATGTGGGGCACTGGTAGCTCTAGACATGTCATTGCCTGCTCCTTTCTTGCCGCTCATGTCAATGTAGCTGGATAACTTCTGGGTCGGTTTGCTGCCGAGGGAGTAAGTCCGGGGTGGCAAGCCAGAAGTGTCGTCAGATAACATGCAGACAGCAGGCTCCGGCTTCAGTATACCAGAACTTCCTGGACTGCTGGATACATCCATCGGCAGGTAACCCTCGTTGCCTACATGCCAATGAAAAGGCAAACAGTATAATTAGTAAACTGAAAACAATATCTTCCGGATGTGACTTTAAAAAATAAGGATATAAACGATATATTGCAATTGCCTGCCATAATTCGCTAGACCTCATGAGGTGCATCACTTCATAATGACGTAAAAAAAATTCTAGAGGCATGATGTAAAACAATTCTAGAGGCATGATGTTAAGCAACAGAAATTATGAAGAATGAAAAAAGCTATGACAATAAATGACTCTACCCGGGAAGGCTAGCCCATGCAACTAATGCCTAAAGAAGTCAGATGTATCAGTCGAAAGGTGAGAATATCATAGCCATGATGTAATTGCAATTACGTCCTTGGATAAACACAGAAGAAAAATAATAATAAAAAGAACCAGCGGAAGATGAAGCAGAAGAAATGACTACAATCATGATGTAAAGAAACAACAAATATGGTGCAAAACCAAAAAACAGCAGATTTGACATAGAACAACTCAACGAACATGACGTAAAAAAACAACTAAATAAATATGATGTAAAACAACTCAACAAATAAATATGGTCTAAAACTACTCAACAGACAGACTAAAGAAAAGATACTTACTGCCTCCCTCCTTGACAGTTGGCAAGTGTGTGGAATGAACGGGTTCAGAATAACTGTGAGTGTGGATGGGAGTCGGATGAGTGGATGCTGGACCATGGTGTACTGCCATAGACATGTAGCCTGCACTGGGCATATCCGAGTGTGAGGTGCTCATCTCTCCTGCACCACAAACATTGAGACTTTACTTACATATTGTGACAAAACGGGAGAAATATTTCAGTCCGGCAAGAGTTAATTGCCAGTTTTAGTTAAAAGAATTGCGCACGTAAAATAAATATATTTAAACATAGATGCTAAAAGAATAAAAAGGTACGAAGGCGCACATAATTTATGACGTTTTGTGGTGTTACTAGGAGACCTAATTTCGTCACAACACAGAACGATTGCCAGCCATACCATCGGCCTCACCCACAATAATAATACCATATACTATTTCAGGTTCCCGTGTTACCGTAGTCCTGCCTGCCTGTTTACCAGAGGACCATAATCCCGTATTCCCGTTTTACGCTATGCCTGTTACCTGTGGATTGTGAACCACCATCCCTGTTACCTGTGGATTGTGAACCACCATCCCTGTTACCTGTGGATCGTGAGCTGCCATTCCTGTTACCTTGTGAATTGGGAACCAGACGGTATAGAATGAACAACCGAGATCTCACAGATGAATGTCGCAGTTAGGCGAGGACTATAACAGTCGCAGCCAGAATCTTGTACATTCCTCCCAGAGAAGCTGCAGTTGGACACATCCCGTATATCGTAAAGCTGAGTGCTGAGTGTTACTGAATATTTGTATAAATTAATGTGGTGTCATGATGATACATTTATTTATTTTCTCTGTGTTAATTTGAAAATTGTTGAATTCAATATCAGTATTTTATCAATGCAGTTGTGGTTTAGAAATTCCATTTATTGATTTCATCGTATCAAATTTACTTCTTAGGTAGACTAAAGATTGTTCATTGCAATTTATTTGAGTTAAATTTACAAAGTTTTGACTTTGGTGGTTTTCTGAATTTCTTTAGGACATTTTCGGGGATTCACCCTATTCTTTAACTTTCTGTATTCTCCTTCCTCTATTTTCCAGAACTCAGGGACCGTTATAATTCCCCTAGACTTATTTAATTCGAGCCCTGTAAGTTAATTTGGAAGGATATAGGGGATCTCCAGGCGACGATAGATTCCGCCAAAAAATAGTTGATTACAATTGGGGGCTCGTCCGGGATTTTTTTTTTAAAAAGTTAGGACATTAAAAGTAGTCATTAATAGGAAATTGGTAGGAATTTAAAGGTAAATAATATTAGGCAAAAATTAGCTTTAGGGAAAACAATATAATAACTTTACACTTGTGTTAATTTGATTGGTGTTTGCGTGTGTTCTTTTAAAGTATATTCTGCAGGTAAAATGGCAACAAGACCCTCACTTATGGAGATGGCGGAGCTGGGGAAAACTCTTGGTTATGCTGGCGAAGAATTAAAGGCATATCTTCAGGAGATACAACGAGAATGGCGACAGGAGGACCGTGAAAGGCGTCAAGAGGAGAAAAAGAGCGAGAGGAGAGAGAAAGAGAGCTGAACGTTTGCAACAAGAGAGAGAGAGAAAGAGAAAGAAAAGAACGCATCAGACTAGCTGAGATAGCTGCTGAGAAAGAACGAGAGATGAGAGCTCATGAACTCCGTCTCAGAGAGCTTGATTTACAATCTCAGTCTACCTCTAGTACAGCAGTTAATGCGCAACCTTCTGTCTCTGAGGCACATTCTTTTGGCCATCCTCACCTTCTTGGGCCGATGTCTTTTCCTTTTCCTCAGTTTAATGAACGCGAGGATAGAATGGATGTGTTTTTGGAAAAATTCGAAAACGTTGCTAGGTCTTATTTGTTGGATAAAGAGAAGTGGTGTCTGAAACTTTCACTGTCTTTAAGAGGTCCTTCTTATGAATGTTATTCGAGATTGCCTCCTGGTCAAGAGACCAACTTCGAGTTCTTGAAAAATTCTTTGCTGAAGAGATATGAGTTGACGGCCTCTGCATATCGTAACAAATTTCGTAATGCTAAAAGAGAGCCGGGAGAAACCATTTCTCAATTCTTTTCAAGAATTAAATCTTATCTGCTGAAATGGCAGAGTTTAGCATCATTTACCCAGACCTATGAAGATCTAGAGGAAATGATATTGGCTGAACAGCTAAAAGAGTCCATGTCAAAACCTCTCCAAACCTTTCTGACTGAGAATGGTGCGGAAAGAATTGCGGACATATTAAAGCTGGCTGAGAGATTTGATTTGGCACACCCTGAACAGGTGGGCGCCAGGGCAAAGATGCACCTTTCAAAATCCCCTCCCAAATTTACCGAAAAGCCAACAGAACGTAACACACATAGGGAACCTGAATTTCGTAATGGTAGGTCCAACACACCAAACACTAACAACACCAATCACAAGTACCATCCACAAGATAATCGAAGGGGTGACGGTCGTGGTCAGCAATCGTCAGAGTGGAGGGGCCGGCTTTACTGTAAGTATTGTCGTCTGAATACACATAATACAGCAGACTGCCGAAAGAAACCCCCTCAACTCTGCGCCGCCTGTTTAACTAATGATAAACAGGAAAATACCAGGATGAACTCTCATGATGGGGAGAGACCTCCTGTTGTAGATACCATTCTTTTGAACGGCAAAGAAGTGACCTGCTTGTTTGATACGGGTCTATTATTCGATGCCTTGGTTTCTACCGAACTCGTTGACCCAACGCAGTACACTGGGGAATTTATAGAGATGCAGACTGCGGCACAGGAGTCTGAGACATTAAGATTACCTCTTGCCAAGGTAAACATTGACTGCAAATATGTAAAAGGAACTATTGTCGCGGGTTGTCTCCCTAACCCAATATTTCCAGTTTTACTAGGATGCAAATATTTGTATCTTGCAGTTCCAAAGACGCCTATGCTAGTTGGGGCCATGGATACCCGGTCATCAACCAAAGCATCAGCAGTATCTGATCCAGAACCCCAGAATCCTTTACCAAAGGACATAAGTGCTGCGCAACAACAGGACTCATCATTAAAGTCCTGCTTCCGGAAGTTGCCTTATGCCCATCAACCTCCTGAAAGAGGAGACTTCTATATGAAGAAAAATTTATTGTACCGGAGAGCAGGGATAGCAGAACGAGAGTATGGCCAACTCGTTGTTCCCTTGCCCTACCGGAAAACTATCCTCCATATGGGACACACATTAGCATATAGTGGCCATATGGGGATAGCGGCAACTTCCCAAAGAATTTCCTGTCATTATTATTGGCCAGGAATGTCGGGGGACATTAAGAGATATGTGCGCTCGTGTCCAGAGTGTCAACGATTTTCACCGAGACACTCAAACCCGCCGGTAACTCTGGGAAACATGCCCATTATGCATGAACCTTTCCAGAGAGTAGCGGTCGACATCATTGGACCTCTGCCTCGGACGAGGAAGAGGAATGCATATATCCTAACATTAGTGGATACCTGCACAATGTGGTCAGAGGCTCTACCGTTACCCAGTATAGATTCAAAACAAGTGGCTAATGCCCTTGTTGCTATTTTTACACGTTTAGGGTTTCCTCACCAAATCCTCCTGACGGACAACGGCTCCCAGTTTCGGGGAAAAGTAATGGAAGAAGTCTTCCGCATTTTTCACACCAACCATATACATACCAGTCCATATCACCCACAATCTAATGGGACTGTTGAAAAATTTAACGGTACCCTCATGACCATTCTGAGGAAGTTGGCCAATACGAAACCGGATATGTGGGATGAGTACCTCCCAGCAGCCTTATTTGCATACAGAGAGGTACCCCACTCTTCCACCGGTTTGCCTCCCGCAACTCTGTTGTTTGGCCGACCCATTAAAGGGCCTTTGGAAGCTCTTTTGCATTCATGGACTCAAGACTCAGTAGATGAAACTGTAGTCACTGCCTCAAAATACGTTGAGGAGCTAAAACAAAAACTTCACCTCGGGTGGGAATTGGCAGCCAATAATCTGAAAAAGGCCCGAGCAAAACAGGCTGCCTGTTATAACAAGAGAGCGAAGGAACGTTCTCTGAACGTTGGAGACAAAGTTTTGCTACTGCTACCCCAGGGAAGAAATAAGTTGGAAATTGGTTGGATGGGACCATACTCGGTAGTGGAGAAGGTTTCCCGAACCAATTATAAGATATCTATTAGAGGAAAGACTCGGGTGTATCATATAAATCTTCTCAGGAAGTATACTGAGGGGAACACCGAGTGCCCCGCAACTTTGTTAGCTATGTCAGTGGCTACAGAAATAGAGGGAGGTGAGAACATGGGAGCAGAATACCCCTTAAAACCACAAGAATCCATTGACGATGTTGTGGTAAATCCCTCCTTAACCCCTGAGCAAAAACAAGCTATTAATCGGGTTCTACTCAAACACAGTAATGTTTTGACGGATAAACCGGGTTTGACTAATTTGATTGAGTACGATATGAAACTCAAAAGTTCAGAACCTATTCGTCAAAAGCCCTACACTATTCCGTTTGCAAAGGAAACGGCTTTGAGGGAAGAGATACAAACCTTACTCAAAGAAGGTATTATATCTCCATCGGAATCCCCGTATAGTGCAGGAGTTGTCTTGTTACGAAAGCCAAGTGGAGAACATCGCTTGTGTATTGACTACAGGCAACTTAACAGGATTACTGAGTTTCAACCCGAACCCTTACCAGATCAGAAACAACTGTTCGCAAAATTAAGCGGAGCAAAGTTTTTTTCAAAGATGGACCTTAGTAAAGGGTACTATCAAATACCAGTAAGGCCTGACATACGTCCATATTTGGGTTTTAGCACGTCTGAAGGACATTACGAGTTCAACGTCGTTCCATTTGGGCTTTGTAATGCTCCTACAGTGTTCACTAGGATGATGAGGAGGCTGCTTGATCCTCTTAAGGATTCCTCCATTTGTCATTTCATGGATGATATCTTGATCGCCTCAAAAACTTTTAATCAGCATGTAGAAACCCTTGACAAAATTCTCACACGTTTAAATGACGTCGGTTTAACTGCAAGACCCTCAAAGTGTCATCTTGCCTTTCCGACCCTAGATTTTTTGGGACACACCACCATTGGGAACGGATATATGTATCCGGAGAAAAAGAATGTGGAAAAACTTCTTAAGGCACCTAGACCCACTACCAAGAAAGAAGTTAGATCTTTTGTATCACTATGTGGATACTATCAAAAATTTATCAAAGATTTTAATAGCATTGCTGGTCCTTTAACTAATGCTACTAGAAAAGGAGCTCCAGAGAAAATTATATGGACACCAGAATGCGAAACAGCATACTGTTTGTTGAAAGATCGGCTTACGAATAAACCTATTTTACAGTTACCTGACATCAGTAAAAAGTTCACATTAAGAACTGACGCGAGTGGAATAGGGTTAGGAGCTACGTTACTTCAGGAAAATAACCAACACCCTGGCAAACTCTTTCCTGTTGCATATGCCAGCAGAAAACTAAATATGGCAGAACAAGCCTATTCGACCATAGAAAAAGAATGTTTAGGTTTAGTTTGGGGAATACAGAAGTTTCAACCATATCTTTATGGAACTCAGTTTGTAATACAAAGTGATCACCAACCTTTGTCATTCTTGGCAGCTTCCAACCGATTAAATTCTAGGTTAATGAGGTGGTCGTTATTATTGCAGCCATATACCTTTACTGTCCAGTATATTCCAGGAAAGGAAAACGTGGGTGCAGATTTCTTAAGCAGAATACCAGTGGATGATGAAATGTGTGAGATTGCAAGAAAATAATAATTTGATTTTTAACTCTTTGGGAACTGAAATTTCCTCTATTTAAATTTCGTAACTGAAATTTTCTTTTCCGGGGGCATATGTGACAAAACGGGAGAAATATTTCAGTCCGGCAAGAGTTAATTGCAAGTTTTAGTTAAAAGAATTGCGCACGTAAAATAAATATATTTAAACATAGACGCTAAAAGAATAAAAAGGTACGAAGGCGCACATAATTTATGACGTTTTGTGGTGTTACTAGGAGATCTAATTTCGTCACAACACAGAACGATTGCCAGCCATACCATCGGCCTCACCCACAATAATAATACCATATACTATTTCAGGTTCCCGTGTTACCGTAGTCCTGCCTGCCTGTTTACCAGAGGACCATAATCCCGTATTCCCGTTTTACGCTAGTCCTGTTACCTGTTACCTGTGTGATTGTGAACCACCATCCCTGTTACCTGTGGATTGTGAACCACCATCCCTGTTACCTGTGGATCGTGAGCTGCCATTCCTGTTACTTGTGAATTGGGAACCAGACGGTATAGAATGAACAACCGAGATCTCACAGATGAATGTCGCAGTTAGGCGAGGACTATAACAGTCGCAAAGAATCTTGTACATTCCTCCCAGAGAAGCTGCAGTTGGACACATCCCGTATATCGTAAAGCTGAGTGCTGAGTGTTACTGAATATTTGTATAAATTAATGTGGTGTCATGATGATACATTTATTTATTTTCTCTGTGTTAATTTGAAAATTGTTGAATTCAATATCAGTATTTTATCAATGCAGTTGTGGTTTAGAAATTCCATTTATTGATTTCATCGTATCAAATTTACTTCTTAGGTAGACTAAAGATTGTTCATTGCAATTTATTTGAGTTAAATTTACAAAGTTTTGACTTTGGTGGTTTTTCTGAATTTCTTTAGGACATTTTCGGGGATTCACCCTATTCTTTAACTTTCTGTATTCTCCTTCCTCTATTTTCCAGAACTCAGGGACCGTTATAATTCCCCTAGACTTATTTAATTCGAGCCCTGTAAGTTAATTTGGAAGGATATAGGGGATCTCCAGGCGACGATAGATTCCGCCAAAAAAATAGTTGATTACAATTGGGGTCTCTTACGCGGGATTTTTTTTTAAAAAGTTAGGACATTAAAAGTAGTCATTAATAGGAAATTGGTAGGAATTTAAAGGTAAATAATATTAGGCAAAAATTAGCTTTAGGGAAAACAATATAATAACTTTACACTTGTGTTAATTTGATTGGTGTTTGCGTGTGTTCTTTTAAAGTATATTCTGCAGGTAAAATGTCAACAAGACCCTCACTTATGGAGTTGGCGGAGCTGGGGAAAACTCTCGGTTATGCTGGCGAAGAATTAAAGGCATATCTTCAGGAGATACAACGAGAATGGCGACAGGAGGACCGTGAAAGGCGTCAAGAGGAGATCGAGCGAGAGGAGAGAGAAAGACAAGAACGCATCAGACTAGCTGAGATAGCTGCTGAGAAAGAACGAGAGATGAGAGCTCATGAACTTCGTCTCAGAGAGCTTGATTTACAATCTCAGTCTACCTCTAGTACAGCAGTTAATGCGCAACCTTCTGTCTCTGAGGCACATTCTTTTGGCCATCCTCACCTTCTTGGGCCGATGTCTTTTCCTTTTCCTCAGTTTAATGAACGCGAGGATAGAATGGATGTGTTTTTGGAAAAATTCGAAAACGTTGCTAGGTCTTATTTGTTGGATAAAGAGAAGTGGTGTCTGAAACTTTCACTGTCTTTAAGAGGTCCTTCTTATGAATGTTATTCGAGATTGCCTCCTGGTCAAGAGACCAACTTCGAGTTCTTGAAAAATTCTTTGCTGAAGAGATATGAGTTGACGGCCTCTGCATATCGTAACAAATTTCGTAATGCTAAAAGAGAGCCGGGAGAAACCATTTCTCAATTCTTTTCAAGAATTAAATCTTATCTGCTGAAATGGCAGAGTTTAGCATCATTTACCCAGACCTATGAAGATCTAGAGGAAATGATATTGGCTGAACAGCTAAAAGAGTCCATGTCAAAACCTCTCCAAACCTTTCTGACTGAGAATGGTGCGGAAAGAATTGCGGACATATTAAAGCTGGCTGAGAGATTTGATTTGGCACACCCTGAACAGGTGGGCGCCAGGGCAAAGATGCACCTTTCAAAATCCCCTCCCAAATTTACCGAAAAGCCAACAGAACGTAACACACATAGGGAACCTGAATTTCGTAATGGTAGGTCCAACACACCAAACACTAACAACACCAATCACAAGTACCATCCACAAGATAATCGAAGGGGTGACGGTCGTGGTCAGCAATCGTCAGAGTGGAGGGGCCGGCTTTACTGTAAGTATTGTCGTCTGAATACACATAATACAGCAGACTGCCGAAAGAAACCCCCTCAACTCTGCGCCGCCTGTTTAACTAATGATAAACAGGAAAATACCAGGATGAACTCTCATGATGGGGAGAGACCTCCTGTTGTAGATACCATTCTTTTGAACGGCAAAGAAGTGACCTGCTTGTTTGATACGGGTCTATTATTCGATGCTTTGGTTTCTACCGAACTCGTTGACCCAACGCAGTACACTGGGGAATTTATAGAGATGCAGACTGCGGCACAGGAGTCTGAGACATTAAGATTACCTCTTGCCAAGGTAAACATTGACTGCAAATATGTAAAGGAACTATTGTTGCGGGTTGTCTCCCTAACCCAATATTTCCAGTTTTACTAGGATGCAAATATTTGTATCTTGCAGTTCCAAAGACGCCTATGCTAGTTGGGGCCATGGATACCCCGTCATCAACCAAAGCATCAGCAGTATCTGATCCAGAACCCCAGAATCCTTTACCAAAGGACATAAGTGCTGCGCAACAACAGGACTCATCATTAAAGTCCTGCTTCCGGAAGTTGCCTTATGCCCATCAACCTCCGGAAAGAGGAGACTTCTATATGAAGAAAAATTTATTGTACCGGAGAGCAGGGATAGCAGAACGAGAGTATGGCCAACTCGTTGTTCCCTTGCCCTACCGGAAAACTATCCTCCATATGGGACACACATTAGCATATAGTGGCCATATGGGGATAGCGGCAACTTCCCAAAGAATTTCCTGTCATTATTATTGGCCAGGAATGTCGGGGGACATTAAGAGATATGTGCGCTCGTGTCCAGAGTGTCAACGATTTTCACCGAGACACTCAAACCCGCCGGTAACTCTGGGAAACATGCCCATTATGCATGAACCTTTCCAGAGAGTAGCGGTCGACATCATTGGACCTCTGCCTCGGACGAGGAAGAGGAATGCATATATCCTAACATTAGTGGATACCTGCACAATGTGGTCAGAGGCTCTACCGTTACCCAGTATAGATTCAAAACAAGTGGCTAATGCCCTTGTTGCTATTTTTACACGTTTAGGGTTTCCTCACCAAATCCTGACGGACAACGGCTCCCAGTTTCGGGGAAAAGTAATGGAAGAAGTCTTCCGCATTTTTCACACCAACCATATACATACCAGTCCATATCACCCACAATCTAATGGGACTGTTGAAAAATTTAACGGTACCCTCATGACCATTCTGAGGAAGTTGGCCAATACGAAACCGGATATGTGGGATGAGTACCTCCCAGCAGCCTTATTTGCATACAGAGAGGTACCCCACTCTTCCACCGGTTTGCCTCCCGCAACTCTGTTGTTTGGCCGACCCATTAAAGGGCCTTTGGAAGCTCTTTTGCATTCATGGACTCAAGACTCAGTAGATGAAACTGTAGTCACTGCCTCAAAATACGTCGAGGAGCTAAAACAAAAACTTCACCTCGGGTGGGAATTGGCAGCCAATAATCTGAAAAAGGCCCGAGCAAAACAGGCTGCCTGTTATAACAAGAGAGCGAAGGAACGTTCCTTGAACGTGGGAGACAAAGTTTTGCTTTTGCTACCCCAGGGAAGAAACAAGTTGGAAATTGGTTGGATGGGACCATACTCGGTAGTGGAGAAGGTTTCCCGAACCAATTATAAGATATCTATTAGAGGAAAGACTCGGGTGTATCATATAAATCTTCTCAGGAAGTATACTGAGGGGAACACCGAGTGCCCCGCAACCTTGTTAGCTATGTCAGTGGCTACAGAAATAGAGGGAGGTGAGAACATGGGAGCAGAATACCCCTTAAAACCACAAGAATCCATTGACGATGTTGTGGTAAATCCCTCCTTAACCCCTGAGCAAAAACAAGCTATTAATCGGGTTCTACTCAAACACAGTAATGTTTTGACGGATAAACCGGGTTTGACTAATTTGATTGAGTACGATATGAAACTCAAAAGTTCAGAACCTATACGTCAAAAGCCCTACACTATTCTGTTTGCAAAGGAAACGGCTTTGAGGGAAGAGATACAAACCTTACTCAAAGAAGGTATTATATCTCCATCGGAATCCCCGTATAGTGCAGGAGTTGTCTTGTTACGAAAGCCAAGTGGAGAACATCGCTTGTGTATTGACTACAGGCAACTTAACAGGATTACTGAGTTTCAACCCGAACCCTTACCAGATCAGAAACAACTGTTCGCAAAATTAAGCGGAGCAAAGTTTTTTTCAAAGATGGACCTTAGTAAAGGGTACTATCAAATACCAGTAAGGCCTGACATACGTCCATATTTGGGTTTTAGCACGTCTGAAGGACATTACGAGTTCAACGTCGTTCCATTTGGGCTTTGTAATGCTCCTACAGTGTTCACTAGGATGATGAGGAGGCTGCTTGATCCTCTTAAGGATTCCTCCATTTGTCATTTCATGGATGATATCTTGATCGCCTCAAAAACTTTTAATCAGCATGTAGAAACCCTTGACAAAATTCTCACACGTTTAAATGACGTCGGTTTAACTGCAAGACCCTCAAAGTGTCATCTTGCCTTTCCGACCCTAGATTTTTTGGGACACACCATTGGGAACGGATATATGTATCCGGAGAAAAAGAATGTGGAAAAACTTCTTAAGGCACCTAGACCCACTACCAAGAAAGAAGTTAGATCTTTTGTATCACTATGTGGATACTATCAAAAATTTATCAAAGATTTTAATAGCATTGCTGGTCCTTTAACTAATGCTACTAGAAAAGGAGCTCCAGAGAAAATTATATGGACACCAGAATGCGAAACAGCATACTGTTTGTTGAAAGATCGGCTTACGAATAAACCTATTTTACAGTTACCTGACATCAGTAAAAAGTTCACATTAAGAACTGACGCGAGTGGAATAGGGTTAGGAGCTACGTTACTTCAGGAAAATAACCAACACCCTGGCAAACTCTCTCCTGTTGCATATGCCAGCAGAAAACTAAATATGGCAGAACAAGCCTATTCGACCATAGAAAAAGAATGTTTAGGTAGTTTGGGGAATACAGAAGTTTCAACCATATCTTTATGGAACTCAGTTTGTAATACAAAGTGATCACCAACCTTTGTCATTCTTGGCAGCTTCCAACCGATTAAATTCTAGGTTAATGAGGTGGTCGTTATTATTGCAGCCATATACCTTTACTGTCCAGTATATTCCAGGAAAGGAAAACGTGGGTGCAGATTTCTTAAGCAGAATACCAGTGGATGATGAAATGTGTGAGATTGCAAGAAAATAATAATTTGATTTTTAACTCTTTGGGAACTGAAATTTCCTCTATTTAAATTTCGTAACTGAAATTTTCTTTTCCGGGGGCATATGTGACAAAACGGGAGAAATATTTCAGTCCGGCAAGAGTTAATTGCCAGTTTTAGTTAAAAGAATTGCGCACGTAAAATAAATATATTTAAACATAGATGCTAAAAGAATAAAAAGGTACGAAGGCGCACATAATTTATGACGTTTTGTGGTGTTACTAGGAGACCTAATTTCGTCACAACACAGAACGATTGCCAGCCATACCATCGGCCTCACCCACAATAATAATACCATATACTATTTCAGGTTCCCGTGTTACCGTAGTCCTGCCTGCCTGTTTACCAGAGGACCATAATCCCGTATTCCCGTTTTACGCTATGCCTGTTACCTGTGGATTGTGAACCACCATCCCTGTTACCTGTGGATTGTGAACCACCATCCCTGTTACCTGTGGATCGTGAGCTGCCATTCCTGTTACCTTGTGAATTGGGAACCAGACGGTATAGAATGAACAACCGAGATCTCACAGATGAATGTCGCAGTTAGGCGAGGACTATAACAGTCGCAGCCAGAATCTTGTACATTCCTCCCAGAGAAGCTGCAGTTGGACACATCCCGTATATCGTAAAGCTGAGTGCTGAGTGTTACTGAATATTTGTATAAATTAATGTGGTGTCATGATGATACATTTATTTATTTTCTCTGTGTTAATTTGAAAATTGTTGAATTCAATATCAGTATTTTATCAATACAGTTGTGGTTTAGAAATTCCATTTATTGATTTCATCGTATCAAATTTACTTCTTAGGTAGACTAAAGATTGTTCATTGCAATTTATTTGAGTTAAATTTACAAAGTTTTGACTTTGGTGGTTTTTCTGAATTTCTTTAGGACATTTTCGGGGATTCACCCTATTCTTTAACTTTCTGTATTCTCCTTCCTCTATTTTCCAGAACTCAGGGACCGTTATAATTCCCCTAGACTTATTTAATTCGAGCCCTGTAAGTTAATTTGGAAGGATATAGGGGATCTCCAGGCGACGATAGATTCCGCCAAAAAAATAGTTGATTACAATATAAGCAATCAAACATATATGAGTGTGCAGGAACAAGTCAGCTGTTATATGTCTTCTGTATTCACCCTGTAAAAGTGCAGTAGGCATGTTGTGCCATGGTTTACAGCTCGGCTGCAACATCTGCACTTTTCGGCCCAACATACCTGATTTCAGAGGTACCTAACTGGCTGCCTTGTACAACATGCTTGCTGGAGCTGCATCTAGAAGTACTGTAATCCTCAACAACAAAATAACTGCTGAACTGACTTTCTACCCCACCAGGGCATCACACAAGCGATAAACACCCGATGACACAAAATGCCACCATGTAGATGAGGATCCCCGTGGAGAGGTCCTGGAAACCGCGTTCAGCCATTGGACCATATTTATGGCCGGGCTATATTGCGGCCCCTGGCAAGAGCCAGGGTTGGGCTTCAAAATAACGAAAAATGTTATCCTACAAGGGGGTAGATGCTGTTATACTGCTGCTGAACAGCAAAAGCCAAGTTATGAGCAGCATTTGACGGTAGCAATAATCAGACACAATCTCAGAATACATCCTCTTCTTCTTCTTCAGCATTCTGAGCCGTTCAGGTTCATTGTTGCAGAAAACATACACCTGTATTCTGTCTCTGTGACTGGCCTTCTCTTTCCAGTTAGTGACTTCAAGTGTTTGTAGGTTTGTCTGGATATTATCTATCCACAGTTTCTTTGTTTACCTTGTCGTCTACTCTCATTTGACTTCCTTGTGTACAATGGTCTTCCTTTCTGCCATCTGCTCTTCTCTCTATTATTTCCTAATCATTTCAGTTCATTGTGCGTGTTGTTCAACCCCATCTGGACCATACAACAAGCAACCAACCCAGTGACACAAAGTGCCACCATTTGGATGAGGATCACCAGGGCACAAATCCCAGAAACCCCACTCAACTGTTAAGTTATATTAGGGCCCCTGACTACAGCCGGAGTTGGACTTTAACCAAAAAACTGCTTCCCACATTGGGACCAGAACTGTAGTTATTCAGTTCATTAGCTCTCATGATGCAAGTGATCAGTGGTCATTTAAATAGATGAGTTACTCTTCAGAATAGTTCACAGCTTAAAAGAACTGTCACAGCATGATCCCAGGGGAAATGGAAAGGAGGCTGTATGCTACACACTATTATCAAAATAATAGAAAATCAAAATACATAAACATTGCAATAAAACAGGCGAACTGCTTAGTCAGGTTTACACAGGTTTTCATTGAGATTTTTTAAGGATTTAGCATGTGGTAGTCTCTCCTTGCTTTCCACATCTCATGGCTGAACACCTCAAACTTCAGTAGTCTTTTAGATACATCATTTATATGGAGGGCACAGTTTCTGAAAGATGAGGCACAAACAGACATCCAGGAAGGTGGATACAACACACTGAACATTCAATGGCTAGGAAAGCTGAAGAACTGGCTGGAAAAGGAGACTTACAGGGAAGGCCGTTTTGAGCGCTATGTTCTGGACGGGACCTGCTGACCGTAGATGATAATGTCCCTGGTACCACTGGTAAATGAACCCCGAGAAAGAGGTGCAGACTGAATATCAAAAGTACAGTGATGCTGCTTCATGACTGACTATTCATTGCTCAACAAGTTCTTAATTAAGGACATCCTCAATGGTGAATTACAGATGAGAAAAAGATGACCGGGTCAGTCTCAACTATGGTGTAAAGATGTAAGCAAGCGGGTCATAAATGATACAGGTACTGGGTGAACTTGCGGGAACAGAATGCAATGGACTGTGCTGCACAGACCGGGAAAATCAGGAAGGTATAAAGATTAAGAATCACTGTGTGTATTTCAGGACCCCTTTGTGGGAGAAATCAAGAACAGACTCACTGTCTCCACAATAGGCATGTCACAGCATTCAACTTATTGGGAGGGAGAGAAGGAAGGTTTCCTTTGAAGTGAGTTACAGACTGAACATAAAATCAAGACAACAATATTAGCAATGAAATACAAATTCAATGCCAAAGGTTGCAGCTGACCTGAATGAGGTGTTGCATGAGCTTCCATTGAGAAATACGAGAGTGAGTTTGTATTCTGTGAAGTGATAGATGACACGCTGGATCTCTGCTGGTTCTTATCCATGTCCATCGCCAAATACGCATTCATTTCATCTGAAGCAAATTAGCAATTTCAAGTAAACATTCAATTAATGATAAAGACTTAACTAAAAACACTAAATATTTCCTTGAACATTCATTATTTTAATCATCCTTTTTCTCTTTACATTCAATGGCTGTAAACTCCAGTAAACAGTCTTTGGAGCACCCAAAAAACTGATCCTGTGAAGCACCAAGCAGACTGCTCATGACAGCACCTAGTTTTGTTGACTGCTCTAAGGTGCACCTAGCAGACTTCACTTGTGGAGCAACAAAGACAGACTGCTCCTGGGTACACCTAGCTTTGCTGATTGCTCCAAGGAGCACTTAGCAGACTTCACTTGTGGAGCAGCCGAGACAGACTGCTCCTAGGTACACCTAGCTTTGCAGATTGCTCCAAGGAGCACTTAGCAGACTTCACTTGTGAAGCAACCAAGACAGACTGCTCCTAGGTACACCTAGCTTTGCAGATTGCTCCAAGGAGCACTTAGCAGACTTCACTTGTGGAGCAACCGAGACAGACTGCTCCTAGGTACACGCAGCTTTGCAGATTGCTCCAAGGAGCACTGAGCAGACTTCACTTGTGGAGCAACCCAGCAGACTGCTCCTGTGGAGTGTACAGAAGACTACAATTAAGTAAGTAAAGTCAAGGACCCTTTTCCACACCTTTCAGGCTTATTGGGTATATAGGGCTAGACCTATATTTGATAGACCAAACGGCACAAGATGGGTGATATGGTCAGCATCCTACCAGGACTGCACCTAATAACCACTCAAGGTTGAGTCCACCTGGAAGCCAAGGTCCTTTCGGGGGGAAAAAAAGCCAGGGATCGAACCCAAGACCTTCCGATTTGCAGCTGAGTGTCTAGCCGCTATGCCACAGCGACTCACTACTATAATTAAGGATTTGGTAAAACTGGATGTTCTGGACCAAAAGGCACCAATATCTCAGCCAAGTTCTCAACCAAATACAACACATCATGTACCTTTTTTTGCCTTTGGGACAATAAAATATAAATGGGTAACGACATCGTTGGAATTCCTGAACAAATTATTTGGAAAAATAAAAAATTTATACAGGTCATTTATAAAGTGTTAACAATGTATTAAAATTTTTGGGGGAACTTTTGTGTATGAAATATGTTAAGGTATATGAAGAAAGAAATCAATAAACACTTCCAGAGTGAAGCATTAAATGGAATAAATTTCTTGCAGCCGAAAAAAATACACATATCAATTAGGTGACTCATGCTATGACCCCGTGAACTCTATCATCGATGCTTATGGGAATATTTGAGGTCAAAAGAAACGAACAAGTCTAAAAAGGACTTGGCATGAGTTGTTTGAGAGCCTGTGCTCCATAAGCTGGAGGAGAAGAAAAAGAAAAGAAAATGAAGAAGGCTGGGAAAGTGAATGAGTTTGAGTGAATGAAATGAGTGAGTTGAATGAGTGTGTGAAGAACTCACCATCCAGACATCCTGGAGAAGGCGGTGGAGACATATCCGGGGGAACCACATTGAAGTGCTCTCTCATCACCACCCCTGGGTGCTCTCCAGTGTAACTTCTGCAATACATTGAAAACATATGTTTGACATTCAAAGCACAACTGGAGCTCTCAGATATGGAGACGATGTTCACAATCACATAATTAACACACTAAAAAGATGATAATAATGTATCATTCATGTCATTGAAAATCAAAATTAATCATTGTCTTTATAAAATTCATTTTCAAATTTATATCATGTCTAATAAAAGTGTTGGAGGCTCTTGGAAGTAACATACACATAACTGTATAGCATTTGTATGTAAACAAATTGATTCAAATGTATTAAAATAATAGATTCTAACTTTGATAAGTCAAATCACATATTATATACTGTTAGTTAGGCGCCCCCTACTTCTATCAGTTGTGGTATAAAATGTTGCATGAATTCTGAAAGATAATTAATCAATCTCATGTGTTCACCAACTTGTATAATAAATTAATTTTGTTTGTTTTTTTGTGTTTTAAATAAAAATTTATTTTATAAAAAGATTTTAAGATACTGTTATTGTCTACACTTTAGTCATCATTACATGTTAACAGAATAACTCAACTTGAAAATCCTGTCTTTTGATGTTACAGCACGAACGACCTGTTGGATCAGGTCATAACTGTATGCTTCTATTCAATAATCTCTGATGATTCAAAAGTGAAAGTAATTTCAAGGGTATATTTTGGATACACGGTCTTGCCCAAGACCCGCAAACCTGCCATTTCCACCTGTTAATATAAAAAAAAAAGGGTTGGATGGTCTCGAGGCATGGTGTCCGCCTCGGGTGCTAGAGGTTCCGGGTTCAATCCCCGGTAAGAGCAGGGATTTTGTCACGTGGACTTGGACTTCTAGTAATTCCCCTAGTCTCTGGGTAGTGAGATCAGGCGCCCGTGTGTATTGTTGCGCATGTAAAAAAAATCCCTTGGCTGTTGGAAATCGAAATGAGTAGCCTAACAGAGTTGCCCCAGCAAAATTAGGAATTAAAAATCTACCCAAAGTATTTCAAGATCTGTGCACTGTGCTGAGCTTCTTCGGACTCAGACTTGAATTAGAAAAATGGAGCACTGATGGGTTACTAATAACACCCGTGTGCCATGATGTTGATCCAAAAAAAGGGCTTATCCAGCACAGCTTCAGTGGCCTGGCCCCGACAAGCTGAGTTAATGGCATTGGTTCTGTTTGCACCAACTCAAGAGTTTAGGAGGTGGAGAAATTATTTGACTAAAAATTGCATTTCGGGGCTTTTAATGTGAAAAACAGAAATCACTTTTTTTGTGTATGGCTAAGACAACATCATAATTCTCTCTTGGCCCTTAGTAATTGAAGGAATGATGAGTCACTGTAGGAATGATTGGTCACTGTAGGAATTCTTCTTCTTCGGCTCACAGGACTGTAATCTGTTAATTATCTGCTCCGTTTGTGTTAAATGATTACTTTCATTTATGTTTCTGTAAAAGAAGCTTTAAAATGCACCTAGATATTCATTTTTAAATACACTCGTTTTTCAGGATTATTCCCTGCAATTCCCTGGTGCCAGTTTTTTCCAAGGGTGTCCAGGGAGCGATGGTTAATAAGATGTCAACCAAGAAAGGTGTGTTGCGCATAAATTTGTGTATACTGTCGTATCTGATGGAGTTTAGATATAAGCAGAATATGATTGATGACAGTTCCAGAAATACTCACTGAGCAAACCCGGGACTGAAATCTTCATGGAAGCTTGTCTTGCTGGCTCGAGACGCTCTTGAATCTGACCTCAAGCGATGTGACCCTGGGTAGTCAATGTGACTGCAGAGAGAGAGAGAGAGAGAGAGAGAGAGAAGTGACTTAGATCAAACCATTTCAACAACTGCTTGCATCCCACAACTGTAGGCTCCAATACAGGATTTAACGAACTCTTTGTCTAAGCCAAAGAAAACAACCATGTGGTGATAGTGGTTAGTGCAGTGTCTGACCAATATAGTTGGGAGGAGAAGGGTGGGGGTTTAAACCCTGAATGTGGTAGTATTGTGGGACTATTTCTTGTCAATCCTTAAACTCTTAGCTGAACTTTGACTTAGTTGCACCCTAAACAGAAAGCCCTTTTCTGTGTCCAAACAACTTTAATTAAGTACATGAAACCCTAGAGTTAAAGCAGTGTCTTCTAGAGAATTACCAATCAACCAACCAACCAAGCTAGTAAACCAACCAACCAAGCTAGTAAACCAACCACCCAAGCTAGTAAACCAACCAACCAAGCTAGTAAACCAACCAACCAAGCTAGTACACTGCACAGTTGCTGATCAAGACAAAATTAATTTAACCAACGACCCTTTCTCTTCTTTAATTCATTCTCTGTGCAAATAGTTTTCAGGCGACTATGAAGTCTGTGGTGCGACGCAGTCTTCCAGTGTCACATGCAGCATAGTTTCCATCAGAATCCCTGAAACAACATTCTGGAATCCTCCTAGCAATGGAACAAATGTTTCAACCTGTTTATAGAATTGCAATCCTATTTCATAAAACAAAAATGAAGATACATGAAATAAATCAGGAATGAAGAAAAATAATGCTACATGAGATCTAAGTTTGAAGAGTAAAATGCTGGGCCCATAACGAGACATTGTTACCTCTTCCCAAGCCATGAGGGATATTTCACAGTTTATATAATAAACAAATTGAACTCAAGGCAAGAAGTAGAAAGACACAACAATATAAAAATTGCAAGCTATAGTTAGCATGCCAGGAATCGGACCTGTCAGCTCCTAATGATAGAAGCATCTTGCCGCAGCAAAAGTGGACTAAGGCACATGACCAACCAGTCACTAAAGGTGTCTAGCAGAATCCATTTAGCCTTAGCCAATGAATGCAGGTTTGAGTTTGCAATGACAGATGCAAGCAATACAATAAGCAACTCAAGTTCAATAATTATACATCTTTGCTGAATCACATGGAATAGCTAACCAAGCAAACTGTGCTCCAATGGATCCCAGGTCAATGTAAAATTTTGATAAAACAGCGGATTACTTAGTTGAAAAAAAAAAATTTTGTTTAACTGGGAAAGAACAGCAGCCATTGGAATCTATTGGAACATTTTTTCATCCACAACATAGTCCTGAAGACCGAATCACACAGCTTACATGAAAGCAACAGACCACTGTTTCTAGATTACAAACTGGACATGACAGACTCCACAGCCACATCTACAAAAAATTCAAGATTGGGGACTCAGAACTTTGCCCATGTCAACAGTCACCATAAAACATTGAACACCTGCTCCAGACATGCTCTCTACAGACAGCAGAGAAATCCTTGGCCTGGCCACCAGGCAGAGGCCTAGCAAGGGCATGCGAGCCACACCGGATGTCATCATTAAGGGATGGGGGGGGGGGGGTGTCATCATTAAGGGATTGGGGGGGGAGGGGGGGTGTGACAAAAATATGTGTTTTTAAACATACAAAAATGTGTGAGCGCGCTCGCATCAGAGACAGAGGGAGAGAGATAATTTTCCGCACCAGGTACCACCTGACTTTGCTTGGCCACCTGGCACTCCACTGGAAAACCAAGCTAATATGCTTCAGTGGAGGACCTGCAGCGCACCCCACTTCTTATGTGAAAACCACAACAGGAAGAATGAAAAAGAAGAAAACAGAAGCAGATCAACATTCTTTTCAGGATTTCTTTGGAAGACATCCTTATTTTCATGACAGATAATTCCCCCATACGAAATGAAGAAAAAACCCCACAACTTACAAGTTGGGACTGCCAGGAGAATGCGTCTCCAGCGAGGTGGGTGGAAAGTAAGTCACCGGCTGAGAATGGACCTCACTTCTTCTTGTCCGCTGATCTCTGCTCATACTGGGATCCCTTACTGTGGCATTCATGTACCTATTGACAATAAAACACACACAGTTTAATTAAATTTACAAACACAGAAAAATGTATACATTTAACTAACTAACTTCGTTAAAAAAAGTAAATAATGAACAAACATTGCCTGGTCTGTGATACTGATACTAAAGGTGGAGGGGAAGAGAGACAGAGAGAGAGACAGGGGAGATGATGCTTGACAGTTTGTTGGTAACCTGGCAGGGAGAAACATTTATTTCAGAAGTTAGTAAAAGTAAACAAGACAAGGCTGTGCACAGACAAGACTTTAAAGCCACATAACAAGACAAGGCTGTGCACAGACAAGACTTTAAAGCCACATAACAAGACAAGGCTGTGCACAGACAAGACTTTAAAGCCACATAACAAGACAAGGCTGTGCACAGACAAGACTTTAAAGCCACATAACAAGACAAGGCTGTGCACAGACAAGACTTTAAAGCCACATAACAAGACAAGGCTGTGCACAGACAAGACTTTAAAGCCACATAACAAGACAAGGCTGTGCACAGACAAGACTTTAAAGCCACATAACAAGACAAGGCTGTGCACAGACAAGACTTTAAAGCCACATAACAAGACAAGGCTGTGCACAGACAAGACTTTAAAGCCACATAACAAGACTAGAAACAGAAAAAGAAGAAAGTAATTTGGGATACACATGATCACTGAAGATCATTTCAAGTTTAGAGGAACGAATGAATGAATAAACTTTATTTTCAAAGGGTCACATTTTAGGAATGCAGGCTTGTCTTACAATCGGCTCTTCCAAACACCCGTCTTTCACACTACCATTCCTCGGCTCTGATCTCTTCAAATCACCACAAATTACTGAGATTTAAATGGCTGGGGAATATAAAGAAATGGCAGATAACAGACAGACAATACACACAAAGAGGTGAATGCAAACAGACCAAGAGACAAACTAAGAGAATGTGTATACCAAAACGAAAAAGATGGCCAATCACAGAGATGCAAGCAGGAGGTAATACTGCTACTGAACCTCAAGAGCTCAGAAGAAAAAGAAGGGGGTGGGGGGTAAAAAAAAAAACAAGAAGAAGAAGAATTAAAGGTCTTGAAGTGAGTGATAGACCCACAGTTTTACAGAACAACAGCAGGCCATATTGTATCAGCTGCCATTACTTCGCAGCTAATTCACTGGTGTTATAGACTGATACTATAACTTCACACCTGCAAAAAAGAACATGAAGATGTTGCCAGGCAATGATACAGCGCAAGATATTGGTGACAACCTTTGTTTTGGAGTAAATGAAAAAGGCTGGGGGAGGGAGGAATCATGCCCATACAATAATGCCCAGGCTTTAGGCTACGGAGAGAGAATTTTATCTCTGGCCTTATGGCTGTGATTCCCATGCCTCCTTGTAGACCAACGGTTCTCAACCTGTTGGTCGCGACCCCTTTGGGGGTTGAACGACCCTTTCCCAGGGGTCGCCTAAGACCATTGGAAAACACATTTTCACCCTTGAAAGGGTGGTTGGCATGTTGTGGTTTACAGCTATGCTGTGATATTTGTGCTTTTCAACCCAACTCATCTAAGCATTTCACAATATGTCTGCTAGGGGTCAGCGTGTCTATTATTTCTTCTTCTTCTTCTATTTTCTACTCCTGGAATGCCTCACTGCGTCAGGTCTATTCTTTTAATTTCTAAAATGGGGCCCCAAAACCCACACCTGTCTAACAGATAACAAACCGTACTGTAAGAGGGTCTCATGCATCTCTTTAGCTATGGTTGCATCCTCCACAGTAAACCAGAACTCCCCTGCTCCAGTGGGGGCATAGTTTCCAACTTCCAGGCGGAAGGAATTCTCGTGATGGGCCACAGATCGAATGGTCACCAACTGAAACAAGCATACACTTAAATGGTTCAGATAAACCTAAGTACACATTAAGTGCCGTGACAAGGTATAGATAAACCTAGGCATACATTAACTGCTGTGACAAGGTATAGATAAACCTAAGCACACATTAACTTTCTGTGACAAGGTATAGATAAACCTAGGCATACATTAACTTGATGTGACAAGGTATAGATAAACCTAAGCATACATTAACTGCTGTGACAAGATATAGATAAACCTAAGCATACATTAACTTGCTGTGACGAGGTATAGATAAACCTAAGCACACATTAACTTGCTGTGACAAGGTATAGATAAACTTAAGCATACATTAACTGCTGTGACATGGTATAGATAAACCTCAGCACACATTTACTTGCTGTGACAAGGTATAGATAAACCTAAGCATACATTAACTGCTGTGACATGGTATAGATAAACCTAAGCATACATTAACTGCTGTGACAGGGTATAGATAAACCTAGCACACATTAACTGCTGTGACATGGTATAGATAAACCTAAGCATACATTAACTTGCTGTGACATGGTATAGATAAACCTAAGCACAGATTAACTGCTGAGACAGGGTATAGATAAACCTAAGCATACATTAACTTGCTGTGACAGGGTATAGATAAACTTAAGCATACATTAACTGCTGTGACAAGGAATAGATAAACTTAAGCATACATTAACTGCTGAGACAAGGTATAGATAAACCTAAGCATACATTAAATGCTGAGACAGGGTATAGATAAACCTAAGCATACATTAACTGCTGTGACAAGGTATAGATAAACCTAAGCATACATTAACTGCTGTGACAAGGTATAACATGGTATAGATAAACCTAAGCATACATTAACTGCTGTGACAAGGTATAGATAAACCTAAGCATACATTAACTGCTGTGACAAGGTATAACATGGTATAGATAAACCTAACCATACATTAACTTGCTGTGACAAGATATAAACTTAAGCATTCATTAACTGCTGTGACACGGTATAGATTAACCTAAGCATACATTAACTTGCTGTGACATGGTATAGATAAACTTAAAAATACATTAACTGCTGTGACAAGGTATAGATAAACCTAAGCATTCATTAACTGCTGTGACATGGTATAGATAAACCTAAGCATATATTAACTGCTGTGACAAAGTATAGATAAACTTAAGCATTCATTAACTGCTGTGACATGGTATAGATAAACCTAAGCATACATTAACTGCTGTGACATGGTATAGATAAACTTAAGCATACATTAACCTCTGTGACATGGTATAGATAAACCTAAGCATACATTAACTGCTGTGACATGGTATAGATAAACTTAAGCATACATTAACTGCTGTGACATGGTATAGATAAACCTAAGCACACATTAACTGCTGTGACAGGGTATAGTTAAACCTAAGCATACATTAACTGCTGTGATGAGGTATAGATAAACCTAAGCATACATTAACTGTTGTGACAGGGTATAGATAAACCTAGCACACATTAACTGCTGTGACAAGGTATAGATAAACCTAAGCATACATTAACTGCTGTGACAGGGTATAGATAAACCTAAGCATACATTAACTGCTGTGACAGGGTATAGATAAACCTAGCACACATTAACTGCTGTGACAGGGTATAGATAAACCTAAGCGTACATTAACTTGCTGTGACAAGGTATAGATAAACCTAGGCATACATTAACTTGCTGTGACAGGGTATAGATAAATCTAAGCACACATTAACTTGCTGTGACAGGGTATAGATAAATCTAAGCACACATTAACTGATGTCACAAGGTATAGATATGTTTATGTTGATTACAATTATGTATCTATATATATATATATATTTATTGATAGGACTGATATATTCATTCCTACCTGTATAGTAAACTGCGGCTGGCTTGAGTTCGTCTTCACCAGAGAAACTGTGGAACTGTTGAGACACAACCGATACTTGCCTTTGGATCCTCGCCCTTGGCCCAGGCCTCGAGGCTGTAGAACCACCTGCCAGACATGCTCTGTAAACCACAAATACGGCACCATTTATCCCAGGTTTTATACACAAAATAGACATGTACTTGAAGCACTATGGTGATTCAAACAAAACTTAGGAGGGGGAGATGGTCAGTCTGCACCCGACTGTATTCCAGGGTCACAATTTGATGGGGAGACAAGAAAAGTCAACCTGCCCCCTAACAAGCATGTCAGTAAGTCAGCTCACCGTCTGGATTCCACGGCCACATTTTGAGTGAGAGGGGGGGGGGGGGGGGGGGGGGGGGGGACAGATACGCAGAAGAAGAAGAAGAAGAAAAAAAATGAAGCAGCAGAGAAGGAGAAAAGAAGAAGTCGCAGCAGCAGCGTTACCACCACACTGTTGTCTGCTAGCCTAGAGGTCTTGGGATTCAATGGCATGTTTTCTTTCAAAATTGACATTGTCCATTAGGTCAACCCAGCCCCACATGGGTACCTCTAAATGTCATGGGAAGTAAAGACGGTCGGCGTGCTGATAAAGATGACGACGCCATAACCCATCCAGTCTTTTATTGGTCTTTTGAAATATATGAAACTAAAATTATATGCCAGATAACATTCAGTTTTCAGATTGTATTCCCTTTCCCTGGGACATGGATATTCAGCTGAGTTCACTCAGGGACAAAAATGCTGAAAATGGGGATCGTTAAGGGCCAGCAACCTGAGCCCCAGCATAGAAAGATCATTGATACAATACAACTGGCAATGATTCGCGGGCCATTTGTTAGTCCTCCGCGGGCCGCCAACCAGCTAGCTTTGCCTTAAGATAAAGTAAGAAAATTCCAGCTAATACCATTTCCACATATGTGGGATTTCTGTTTTTAAAAAATCAACTTCAGCTCTCAAGTCTCAAAATAAAAGTGAAAAAATATCTTGGATGGTAACTGCAGTCATAAAGTACACCACGCCATGTGTATCAACTAGTCTCTAAAAACATGACAGCAGCTCTATAAATTATACTCAAGACACCCCTAGGCGTGGATTTCAGCTCTTGGCATATTTGTTAGTAACGAAAGGCGAGCCGCAATTATGGACTACCCATCCTTCTCATCTATCAGGTATCGAGAAAATCAATACTGACCCCCCCAGTGATAAACACAGATGGCCTGATTTGCTGTCCTACTTCGCAGACACCATTTGTCCTGATAGAACCAGCTGAAGGCAGATATTCTGTCTGCGAGAGTTGAGCTGAGTCAAAAAGTGACATCACAACACTCGGGACGTTCCCATGCATGCTCCGTCTTCATCTTCAGCAGCCAGCACAGAGTTTCAATACTGATGGTAAAAGTTACAATCTAGTTAAAAGTCCGTCTTGCCTTTCCTCTGAGTTTAGTGAGCCGGCCAGAGCCTCTGGTTACACCCAGGTACCTTATTCTCTCCAGGCCATAATTAATGTTATTTCTCTACTGTCTGTCTGTCTCTGTCTGTGAGAATCTAATGAAGGAGATCCGTTTGTGTCATCCATGGTCAACTCAGTGGATCATTCTACACAGTCCTTGCCTGTGCTCCGACGACGCCACATTTGGGAATTTTTTTAAACATACAAGATTAAGCAGATTGTCTTCCTAACAAGCGTGTCGTAAAAGGCAAATAATTAAGAGCTTGCTGAAATACTATGTCTTGGAACGAAAGACCCAGCTGTAAAATCACAACACGACTTGCCAACTGTCATTCTGAGGGCGAAGTGCTCTACTCACGTATCTGTTTCTGACGAGGCAGTCAGCGGAATCCAGACTGTGTGATTAGGGAGGTGTGCCATAGATGTGACTGGGGAGTCATCTGTCACAGATGTGACTGAGGAAGTTATCTGTCACAGATGTGGCTGGGGAGTTATTTGTCATAGACGTCACTGGGAAATTATCTTGTCACAGATGTGACTGAAAAGTTATCTGTCACGGATGTGACTAAAGAGTTATCTGTCACAGATGTGACTAAAGAGTTATCTGTCACAGATGTGACTGGAGAGTTTTTTGTCACAGATGTGGCTGGAGAGTTATTTGTCACAGATCTGACTAAAGAGTGATTTGTCATATACTTGACTGCGGAATTCTCTTGTCATAGATGGGACTGGAGAGTTATCTGTCACAGATGTGACTGGAGAGTTATCTGTCACAGATGTGACTGAGGAGTTATCTGTCACAGATGTGACTAAAGAGTTATCTGTCACAGATGTGACTGAAGAGTTATCTGTCACATATGTGACTGAAGAGTTATCTGTCACATATGTGACTGAAGAATTATCTGTCACAGATGTGGCTGGAGAGTTATTTGTCACAGATGTGGCTGAAGAGTTATTTGTCACAGATCTGACTAAAGAGTGATTTGTCATATACGTGACTGCGGAATTCTCTTGTCATAGATGGGACGGGGGAGTTATCTGTCACAGATTTGGCTGGAGAGTTATCTTGTCACAAATGTGACTGAAGAGTTATCAGTCACAGATCTGACTAAAGAGTTATCTGTCACAGATCTGACTAAAGAGTGATTTGTCGCAGATGTGGCTGAGGAAGTTATCATGGCTCTTATGGGGAGCTATTAATGTGAGAGAAGAGAGAGTGAGGGTGTCACTGAAACAGCTGCCATGTCAGCGCATGTGTCCTAACTGCTGAACTACAAAGAGGTCTCTGCGACTGTGGGCCCTTGCACTGTACATGTGTAAGTGGTTCAAGCAGTCTGTGTTTCTGGTTCCTATAGGATTATATGGCGCAATGTGTTCTTGTATCCTGAACATATTTTGTCAAGAAACAAATGTCGCAAGCCCTCCTTTTTTGTTTTGTTTTACAGTGTCAGTATGTCAACATCTTCTAGGCATCATACCTTCTAGTTATTTGTCATAGACGTCACTGGGAAATTATCTTGTCACAGATGTGACTGAAAAGTTATCTGTCACGGATGTGACTAAAGAGTTATCTGTCACAGATGTGACTAAAGAGTTATCTGTCACAGATGTGACTAAAGAGTTATCTGTCACAGATGTGACTGGAGAGTTTTTTGTCACAGATGTGGCTGGAGAGTTATTTGTCACAGATCTGACTAAAGAGTGATTTGTCATATACTTGACTGCGGAATTCTCTTGTCATAGATGGGGCTGGGGAGTTATCTGTCACAGATGTGACTGGAGAGTTATCTGTCACAGATGTGACTGAGGAGTTATCTGTCACAGATGTGACTAAAGAGTTATCTGTCACAGGTGTGACTGAAGAGTTATTTGTCACAGATGTGACTGAAGAGTTATCTGTCACAGATGTGACTAAAGAGTTATCTGTCACAGATGTGACTGAAGAGTTATCTGTCACAGATGTGACTAAAGAGTTATCTGTCGCAGATGTGGCTGAGGAAGTTATCATGGCTCTTATGGGGAGCTATTAATGTGAGAGAAGAGAGAGTGAGGGTGTCACTGAAACAGCTGCCATGTCAGCGCATGTGTCCTAACTGCTGAACTACAAAGAGGTCTCTGCGACTGTGGGCCCTTGCACTGTACATGTGTAAGTGGTTCAAGCAGTCTGTGTTTCTGGTTCCTATAGGATTATATGGCGCAATGTGTTCTTGTATCCTGAACATATTTTGTCAAGAAACAAATGTCGCAAGCCCTCCTTTTTTGTTTTGTTTTACAGTGTCAGTATGTCAACATCTTCTAGGCATCATACCTTCTATTACTATTCCAAATCATTCTGACATTTCTTCTTCTTAAGCGCCGCACCTTAAAAGGGCGGTTATCAGGCTGTGTAGTGGTTTACAGCTAGGTTGTACTATTTGCGCATTTTGACCCAACAGATCCGATTTCAACAAATCCTAAATTACTCACGATACACTTGTTAAGCAGCGGTTGGTCGTATCTTGTCTCTCTCCACAATAAAGTCCTCAGAAGCCGCACATGACACTTTAGTGTTGTATGTGGCCCCCAAGTATTTCAGCTTCCGCACATGACACTTTAGTGTTGTATGTGGCCCCCAAGTATTTCAGCTTCCGCACATGACACTTTAGTGTTGTATGTGGCCCCCAAGTATTTCAGCTTCCGCACATGACACTTTAGTGTTGTATGTGGCCCCCAAGTATTTCAGCTTCCGCACATGACACTTTAGTGTTGTATGTGGCCCCCAAGTATTTCAGGTTCCGCATATTGCTACAGGATAAAATGTATGTTCAACCGACGCAACAATCTACAGGCACAGCTTCTATTTGTCTCCATAAGTGTGTGTGTGTGTGTGCGTGCGTACGCGCCTGTGTGTGGACGGGAGAGGGCTCGCCTGACAGTAATTGTGTCGTGGACTAAAAAGGGCTATATATCATTTAAAGAAATAATTTTTAAAAGCATTTATTTGGACACTCAATATTATTTGAAGTTTAGTATTTTTCTCCTTCGCGTTGTATAGCACAGCTGTCTTCTTCGTGTACGTTGATCTCACACCCAGGGTAGTCTTTAGTTTGCTATAGGAGTCAACTGAAAGAGAACAGACGAGGATGAAGATGGCCGTGTCGATAGTGGTGATGATGATGGTCTCTCACGCTTATGTCACTGATGCTTGAGTTATAAAATGTCTTGAAACAACAGTTCCTTTCTACGCTGCCTTTATGGTGATATTTCAGTAATGTCACAAATAACATCAATGATATTCTAAATGGCCACTGTTTTCACTTTATGGTTACATAAAAGGTCGCGTTGTGTTCTTGTCTCTAGTTACTTTGTTAACTGGTTATAGTGTCTGTAACTGCCGCCTGGCGACTAGTGCTGTCTGGTACTAACGGCTTGATCGTCTAACATTTTAGTAATATTTCTACCTAACGTGTCTCCAAAGATCCATGTATCTTGTGTGTGGCCTCTGTAGTTAGATGTTTCATTTCATGTCTCCTCTCTAGTGACTGTCTTTGACTGGTTCCTCCTTTTCTAGTGTTGAGCTGGCATGTCTACAACTGAAGGTTCTTGTCTGCGAGGGTCCATGTGACTAGTCCCTCTTCTTTTTAAGTCTCATAGACTAAAGAATGCTCA